TTTCGACTTTTTTAAAGTTATCCTATGTTCATTTAATTATTTGGAATTGCATAAAAACTAATACAGCATAACTTATCGAATTTTTTAAAATTTCGGATTAGTTACTAGAAAATGCCACCAGTCTCAAGACAAGCCCGTAATTTGAAAAAAGCACGTGAAATACGGGTTCAAAAATTAAAAGATCAATCAGAAGCAAAGAAAAATGAAATGAAATGAAAAATTAATGAAGTAATAAATGAGATGGATGAATCAGAACTTGAGGAATCGTTAAAAAAATCAAAAGAGCAGCATGAACCTAACCTAATACAGTAATATTTAGTGAAGATGATTCACAACGGATTAAATTAATGTCTACAATTCAACAATTATCTGATAAAGAGGTCTCGGCAGCAAGTCATCTTATTGAAACCATGCGTTATCCAAAAGGTTTAAATGCAGGCCAACTTCTATCACCATATCTTCAAAATAAAGCATATAATTCTATTGTTGATAGTTATTATAAACACCAATTATCAAATAAATCTTTAAAAGATGCAAATTTTAAACTTGAGTGAGTTGGAAAATAAAAGGCTTGATCGTCAAATAAAAAAGTTAAACAGAAGGACAAATTCACTTGTAGGACATTTGCACAATCAAAAATCACAGCACATCTCAGAAATTCGTTTTTTAATTCAAACATCTTCAATATCAGATGCTGCATTTAAAAATAAAATAAAATCTCTCTTTAGATCAATAAACGAAGTTATTCCTCTAATACAGTTTGGCTTGCAACTAGCATTACACAAATAGGAGAAACATCAATGCGCTCTTCAATTGAAGATACTAAATTAATTTATGAATTTTTAATTGGTGAGTCTCCACGAAAATGGTTATCAACCTCAACATTACATACATAGCATGAAAATATCTCTCAATTATACATTAATAATCATATTTCTCAAATTGCAAATGCACTAGTCTTTGGAATAATGGTTGATGAATCCACCTGTGGAAAAATAAAAAAACTTTATTCTTTGCTATCAAGTATGGAGTGAAAAAGAATAAACTCCTATTGTTATTATGGCAAGTCTTAAAGATATTTCAAGGTATAATAGTGAGACAGTTTCTATTATAGTTGCTCAATCAATTCAAAAAGATGGACTTGATACTACTAAATGTATCTTATGGGTTACTGATAATACAGTATATATGACAAGTAATAAAAAGGGTGGTGTAGCTTTTTTAATAAAAAAAACTGGTTCAAATGCTCATCGAATTGGTTGTGGGTTTTATATTATGCAAATTATACTTAATCACTTTGAACAAGAAGCATTTGGTAAACTTTTCAATTCTATTGGATTTTCTCGAAAATTGCATCCATATAATCTCTTATATTGGCATGGAATTTATATAATGGCTATAAATCTTAATGCATCAATAATTAAAGATTTATATGATAAATTAATGGATTTCATTATAACCAGTACTGATTGCCTCTTTATTCTCATTGTGATTATGAATTATGAATAGCAAAACAATATTTAGATTGACGTGAAGCTTACATTTTATTTGCTTGTTGATTTATTATTTAGCTGAAAAATCATCATCATATACCAAAAGCATATTTAAATAATTGACGTCTTTTTGAATTATGCTTATCTAATTTAATAATTAATATTCAAATAAAATGTTTAGTAAATTTAGTAGAACATTTTTATGAACCATTGGTATAATTTATAGTAGGTTAAGATCCTAATCTATATTGTTACATCCAATTTGTAACTCAAATAAAATTTATAAAAATTAATAACGCTAAGACTAAACTCAGGAAATCACAATGAAGATTCGTAGTAAACATCAAAGATTATTCTCAATTATACATGAATAACTTCTAAATATTTCAGAGATTACATTTCAGTGACTACACTTTAAGTCAATACAACGGATCAATACAATACCACATAAAGTTAATAAGCAATAATAATATATATACAGGTTAAAGGGTTGCAAAGGATAAGTTTTAACTTGATTAATTATACGCTTTATTAATAATATAATAAATTGTAACTTCTCTACCTCATAAGGTATTGAGACTTAATGAAAAATATAGTGATATTTATATAAGTTTGATAATTATAAAAATAAACTAAACTAAATATAACTATGAAAATAAAATGATATCGTCAAGGAAATAAAGTTGACAAAATTGATCAGCAAGGATGTTTATGTTAATAAAGTTGTCCGTTACACTGAAAATAAAATTGATATCTAGATCTATTATTTCACATTGATTATCTCAGGACATAAAGTTAACATCAGGATCAATGAGATGATAAACAAAGACATTTAATTGACATTGGATTTGTAAGCAGATTTTTAGCTAAAATTTTGCACAGTTATAATATATAATATAAATAGAAAATTAGATAAATTACCTTTTGGTAGAAAAGCATTCAGAATGTCAGATAAAGTGTGTGAATAGAAAGATTTTCTTGAAAATCTCAAAAATAATGTAAAAATGTTTTTTGCTAATGAATTATCAAAAGCTATTGAAATATTATCAAATGATGAATTTAGAGAATTATTCAATAGTTTAGAAAATGGAATTAATAAATCTTATGAATATTTTAAAAAGTAGTTAGATCTATAGCTTTATTTACCTTTAGTTATTTGCTAACTAGATGGAAATTCTGCACACTTATTTGCCAATAGTTTTCATTTTATAATTTTAAGAGAGATTGGAATAAAACACCTACAGATTTAGAATTAATATTTGCAAAGAATTTAGAAAATGATATTAATTGTGGAATTGGCAATACTTTTGGTTTACAAGAAATGTTATTTTGTAATAAAGAATTTGAATTTGAGAAATTTTGCAAAACTGATAATCCTATATTATACAAATTTTCTTAGCTTTATAATTTTGTTAAAATACACATATATTTTATTATATTCATCAATAACAGGTCAAGGGACTTTTTAATAAATTAGACTTGAAAACTCATACAAATATGTTACTATCTCTTAAATAATCAAAACTTCAATTAGCTTCAAGTAAGATTGAAAAAGAGAATTTGATGGAAGGTCTTAAAAAATATGGGTTCAAAAAAAAGAGCAAAATAATGTCCTAATTATCTCATTGCAAGCTATTCAACCATCACAATTTGGAGTAAAAGTTACATCAGATTTTTTTAATAATTTATTGAATATGTAAAAAAAAAGCTACATTAATTTACAATATTTTTGCATATTAATAAAAAAATAAATAAAAAAAAATATAATGTAAATTTTGAAAAAATACTAGAATATACAGTATTAAAATGCTAGTTTTAATTACACTTTAAATCAAAATATATTGTAAAAATTCAATAGTAAATTTTTATATGATACTATATATAGTTTTAATTTAATTAGTTGACCAAACATCCTAATATTTCATATACCAAATATCAAATAGAATCATTCTGTTTTAAACTTAATGATTATTTATTCAGCTTAATAATATAGGCCACTTTGGGGGTTCTGGTGCAGATTTCAAATAGACCTCCAAACCCCGCCTACGAATCAAATTTGCTATA